TTTAAAAACAGATGCTACATGCCTTTTGCAGGAAAACCAGCTTACACACAAAGATTGTTTTGTTCGCAGTGCCAATGAGCACACTTGCATACCTGCATGGGATCTGAACACAGGAGAGTATAAAACTCACAAGGATCACTGCCATTGCCATTGAGAAGTATCTTTTAATATATAAAAGACAAAATCATTCAGTAATTGATGATGTTTGGATTTAATTGAAGTTTATTGTGAAAACCTTTGTACCTGAAAATTAATTTCTTTGAAATATATGATAAAATACTAAAATTAAAGGGGTTGTTGTTATTGTCGGGTGCTTTTTCTTGGAAAGCCAAGGCCTCCTCCACAATACTAAGCACAGTACTCTCTGTCCTCCCAGTTGGTGTGTTTGCAGCTGCAAAAACTCAAGACAACAGTTTCTGCTGCCACTGTTCTGGCAGGTCTCCATTCATATCACGAGAGTTAACTTCTGTATTCCCACTCCCCTCGGAGAAGTGATAAATAGGTGTGGTGAATGTCTGTTTTCTTTTCTATGATTGCTCTTTTACCCCATGGTGGAAGATCCCCCTGCCCTGGCTGGTGACTCCCCTTATTTCCCCCTCATGTCTATTCCTTCTTGCTATATCTGCTGCTTACTCTTTCCTCAGACATTCCTTTTTCTACTCTTCTTCCTCCCAAATGGTCTAATACATTCCTCTCTCCCCACGGCACGCAGGATCTCAATAGATAACGGTTGACTTTACACAAAAACTGTAATTTCATGTAACTGCTTTCTATTTGAATCGGCAGGGAAGATACAAAGCAAAGAGAGGTCAAAGGAAAGATTACAGGAATCTCTGCACTCAAGGATATGAGCTATCTGCCCAATGAGACCTCTGATGATCTGATAATCAGTTCTACTTGCTGCATAAATATGTCCATTTCTTTTATTTAAATAGATAAAACCAATTTTCATACATAAACTTTCCAGAACTTCATACTAGGTTTTATATACACCTTTTAAATGAACATATTATTCAGCATCATAAATTACGTGACAAACACATGCTAAAATCTTAGAGAAACTGAGAAGGAAATCACATCACGTTTACACATACAGGAGACACACTGAAAGGCATTCTTCCAATACTCTATTTCTGTTGTTCAAATTAAAAAGAAGAAACAAAACCTTAAGTTTCTGAAGGAAAGTGGCATAAAACAAGAGGAATATGAACTACTAACAACAGTGCAAGCTCACAGGAAACAATTCATGCCTCATCCCCATGAGCAACAGTGCTTCTATGCTTGACCGACGTCTTGAACTTTTCAGTATTCACAAATTCTCCAGTAACCACTGGACAAAACAAAAAGCGTATCTGCTTGAGAAAAATCTGGGTTAGACCTTGAACATTAATCATCCCTGAACTATACTGGAAGGCCCATGGATAAAAATGTTACCTAATTAGACTCTTCCTCATTCAGAAGTCTCAACTGAGATTTTGAGTTCAGATTAATTCTCAATAGAGGAGTCAGTTCCTATCAGAATAATTTAGACTGTAAAGGACATTAGGAGATCATTTAATCCACTCCACCACTCAAAGAAGTGCTATCCTAGACTTTCACCTGCTGCCATTAATAACATTGTAGATATTACACAGGAAATATGATGCAGATTACATTCCCATGACCGCGTTGAATATATCTTGAGTTAGTCTCATTGTCAGCATCTACCAACCAACAGACTGAAGAATTTCTTCTTTCAGCATGTGCAAGTTGTCAGCAGCCTAAACTGTAATAAAATGTTAAGTCAATAGGCATTTTCAGAGCATAGAATTGTTGCAAATATCACAATTTGATTTATTCAGCATTTATAACAAGGATACTGCTATTACAGGCACCATATGATGCAGTCTTGGTTGCTTAAAATATTATTTACTCAAACTTCGCGTAAGTCTCCTTTCATTGCAAATATTCAATTACATTTTTGGAAAATGTAATTAATTTTGTTTGTGATGTTGTCAGATTTAACTGGGAGGGACAGCTAAATCATGGATTCAAGGTCCAGTCCTAGAAAACAAGTCAACAAAGACTGTAGTCTGAGGACTTGTTTCCTATAAATGGAATGGAGCTAAAAGGGAATGGGTAACTCTTGGCTATCCTAAAGCCACAGCAGTAGAAATTGAATGTCTGCTCATACAGCCAGTTGACAAGGAACAGCAGAGTAAGTCCTTGCACTTCACGCTGTCAGCATGCCTCAACCCAGCCTGGATGAGTCACCTCCTGGAGGGTCACTGCGCTGCTTCAGTCTCTGGATTCTCTGCTGGGACTGCCACGAATGACATTATATGGTGGCATTTATTCCAAGAGGACACTTGTCTTCTAGGAACTGGATAAAGACCGTTGATTTCATGCAGGTCAGCAAGCAACCATCAAAATATTAGCGACTAAAAGTCCTTACCAACTTTTGCCTGCTTTGAACTGGTGACACAGAAGTGATGGGAAAGACTCCACCTTCCATTAGCAGTCCCTAAGCTACCCATTACATGGTCCTTGACCTGTTACCCAGTCACCCTATCCCATTCCCACCCTACATGAGCAAACAAGCATTTTTGCTTACAGAAATGTTGCAATTCTTGGGAATTTAAATCAAAATTCTCACAATATTATCAGTACAATTCACACTGACTTCAGCTGGTAATGCTTAGCTAAAATGCTTTGTAACTCAGAAGAGACTTGTTACTTACAGGGAAAAATACACAGTCTCTAAAACACGAAGCAAACATAAAAGCTGCTTCCAAGGAAACTGGAGCGGGGGGGTGGTGTTTCAGAAATGGGAATATGGAGCACACTATTCAGGAAGACTATGGTGATGTCTAAAAAGTTATATCCAGGCTCGCTATTCAAATATAAATTCAAATAACTTCAAAGCTAGGTAAAAAACTATTCTGTATCTTTTACTACTAACAACAACTCAATTATGGAGAAGACTTCATGCGAGGCATGTAAGATCAAGGTGGCTTAATATTGTTTTACATAGCACCTAACATTTTAAAGCAAAAATATACACAATCATTTTAGAAAAAAAAAAAGCATGAAATTGCTTCTACTTTTCTGTTGTTTAATTGGTTTTGTTCATTTAAATACCACTATATTACTACTTATGCATCACCTGTTCAGCTTACTTGAACTTAGAGACAACTCCTCTGAGCAAGGAGGAGTTCTGTACATCTCAATGTAGTTCAGAACATGACAATTTCTACAAACCGCCCTATCAAGCATCATTCACTCTAGGCAAGAGAAGAAATACTTTAATATCCATGCATGTTACATTTTAAACAAACCCTGAGAAGAAACTATCAGTTGCATAAAACTACACAAAAATCTTGTTGGTTTTCAAATGGAAACCACTGCTCACCACAACTAAAAAAGCATCTGGAAATCCATCTGCTTTTGAAAACTGTGGTAAATTAAAATTTGTCCTTTGTAATACTTAAAAAAAAAAATTATTCCCTGCTATTAGGTACATACACATCTGTGTAAAATGCCTAAGAACAAACAATTAGGTTCCATCCAATGTGATAACACGCAATAAAAGACCATGCTCCACACAATTCCAATATTCCCAGTAACTATAATCCTTCCAGCATAATTTTCTATTAATTCAAACTGAGTTTGAATCGAGAGCCTGTCTCCACTAAAAACAAAGAACAAACAACAAAAAACCCCACCTCACATCAGTCTAGCTGTAGTGGTATAAATTTCCCTCTCATATAAATTTATTCGGCTAATATACAGCAGGGGTTTACATCAGCACATTGTACTGCAATAGTCTAATGGCTCAAGTTGCACCAGTATAAATCTACTTTAGAGTTATGCAGTTCGTTTACAGTGGCTAATCCTACCACCTATCTAGCTACACTGTGGTGGTGGGATGCTCATTTTCCCCTAGGTAGATAAATCTTTCCAGTCTGACATAGCATCTGTAGTATTCAGCAGACAGCATTAAAGCCAAACCAAGTTTTACAGAAACACTCACGAGGCCTCTCCTGCTCCTCCTCCCAGCCATTCAGAGGAGGAATTAAATAAGTGTTCCAAGTCTTTCTCCCATCTAAAACCATGGAACAACCTGTCCAGCAAACAAAACAAGGAACAAAGGCAGCAAATTCTCCAACAGTTTCCATCCTGCCTACCCCGGTGCTTCAAGTATACTGACTAGTAATGAAAAAAATAACTCCCCCAAACACCCTCACAGTTAAGGGGTAAAATGAAGTTATTTTTTTTTTGCCACATTACAGTCCCTTCTGTAGTCATCCCCAGGAAAAGAAAGGGTAAGAAATCCATTTTTTCCCTCTCCTATGAGTTTTCCTTCCTATTTTCCAAGGACACAGAGGAAGATCTAAAAATTTCTCCTACACAAACCATGATTTCCCACTCTAAAACTTAAAAGGAATTAAAGCAGTCATGGTTGATTCACCTCTGCTGCTTGGAAAGGCTAGAAGAACAGCTACTTCTCCCAGGCAGGCAGTCAGCAAGAGCTGAAACACATTCTGATCATCAGCCTACACCTGTATCTGCCCAAACTCAAACAATTACCTTTGTAATTGAAAATAAGAAAATACATATATATACACAATCAAATACTGCATTGTGATATTATTTTACCATAATCAACGTACTAAACTGCTATAAAATATCAACTGTGTTAAATTTCTTAGTGTAGTGGCCTTTTTTTCCTCCACAACATAACAAATGAATTATATGCTACCATTTTGTGAAAACTCTTAAACTCCTATGAGTTTAAGGAAACGATTTAAATATTTATGTCATAATATTCAAGCAAAAACAATGAAGAAAAAAAAAGAAGTCTCTTTAGATTTGATGTATCTTCTCAGCTTAATTAACACAAGCTTTTCCTGTTTTAATTTGCACTTAAGAAGCTAATTTGCTAATTACTACATTTTCAAGCTGTTTTCTTGAAATAGATGGCAGCCTATCACACTAGGAACCCAAATTTCTGTAGTTACCTCGAATTACGTAATTGTCCAAAGCCTCTTCCATTCTTTTCAGTGCTTCAGCTCTATTAGAGCCATAGGTAATCAGCTAAAAAAAAAAAAGTATTTAAGTTAGTAGAAATGAGACAATGCTTGTCTCTAGCTTCTGAATAGCATGTAAAATGAAAATGGATAGTAGAACTTCTGCAGTCACAAAAACATTTCTCACACATTATTGTAGCTTCGGAGGCTCTCTAAAGCATCAAGAGAAAACTAAGATCTCTTAACCCATTCAGTAAAAGAAGGCCAATCACTTTTGCTTCATAAAACTCCAAGCATGTAAACAAGCTCTCTCTTCTTCTTTAGGCACACAGAAAATTAGAGCAGAGGTTCAATATCTAGTTGATTCTCCTGACTTCTAATGCCCAACCAACTTCCAAGATTTAAGTGTGAATTTTTTTGACAACTGACCTCTGACTGCAATGTCGTATTTTCGTTTTACCAATATGTTACTGATGAATAAAAACTAAATACCAAGAGACACCATCAACCATTACTTTCACTGCTGCTTTTTGGAAGCCGGAATTACTGATATTTTAGTTCTGGCTAGGTTACATTTAAAAAGATAGATTGCCAGCACCTAAGTCTGAAGGTGATGTCTTCTGTTTAAATCAGAATCCTTTTAATAATCAGAAACTGCAAGACAAATAATTATGGTGTCAAAAGATTAAAAAAAAGCTTTAGAAGTGACACAATTTCCTCTACTCCACATCTTCCTTCACTTCTTTCATATTCCCTAGAGGCATGTTATGCTTAGCGCCTCTAAAATAGTGATTTACCAATCCTTTAATATACTTTCTCTCCTTTAAAAGATCTGTGCATAAAATTAGTGTTTCATACCTTTAGAATATTGAAAAATAATCATCAACTCACTTTTGAGATCATAGGATCATAATAAATGCTAATATCGCTTCCTTGTTGTATGCCACTGTCAACACGCACCTTCAAAAAATAAGAAGCAAAAATAATTATATATTGGAAAAAAAATATTTCAACATGAGATCAAGTCTACCTGGCAGGCTTAAAACATAACACTCGTGAAGCTTATCACATGCATTTTTTCCTCTTGAAGAACTAGAGTAATTATTTGTTTTCAGAGAAGCTGGGAGGGGGGAAGGGGAGGTTTTTCTTCCACCAGGAAAAATACTTGCAAGTTATTCTGTCCTTTAAAAGAAAACATGACTGCAATTTTGCGTTGATAGTCAAAATTCTCTTTTGCTCTCCTAGAATGTGCAATAAACACATTAAATTTGGTCTAACCACTTAAGTTGTGTTACACACTCTAAACTTCAACTCTGGATGTATCCAATTCCAATTTAATCCCTGTAATAAAATACAGTTGTAATTATTCTTCTGACAGACACCTGGCATGAAGGATGCCCCTTATAATCACATCTTTTCTGCATCTATATGTAATCATGTCCCCCATGTTCCGCTACAGCCCTTCTGAAGGCTCCAGTAGGAATACGAGTAGGGAGCATTCAGCGGGAACTTTGGAGCTCTGCTTATCAGCTCCATAGGAATACTGATCCTGTGGTTTTCAAGTCTGTAACACTTTCCTTCTTTGCCTCACCCTCTCAACTGTAAACCATTTTTTTTTCTGTTGCTGCTGTTCCCCCGAGGCTTTAATGTTTGCACAGCTTTTTCCATGGCTTTGCTTTGTAAGGACACAGCCCCAATTAAAGCTCTGATTCTGCAATATTCATGGAAAAAAATAACACAAGTTCAAAAATTTCTTTTGAAGAGGCTGATTGCTGTTAACCAGCCAACAAGTTAGTTAGTATATTGCTGATTCTTGTTTTCATCTCTCAGTTTGATTTCATCACTGTAGCAATAAGGTTAGCCATATAAAACTTTTCAAATGAGCAATTTCTGGGGAATAAATATTTATTAAATTGCTGCTTTTGAGCGCTGGCATCTGAAATATTTTTTAAAAACTAATCAAAATAACTCGAGAGTGATAAACGCATTCTGGGGATCATAAGGATGGAGGGCTCTAATCAAAGCTGTTGAAGCAGCAGGGCTCCGATATACAGCACTGCAAAGGGGGTGGGAAAGAGGGTCCTGGAATCTCACTTAAATCTTCACCTGTGGGAAGGAACCTTTGTAATAAACAGCAGCTCATCTGTCTGCAGCAAGGCAGAAAAAGGTCAACGCAACGGCTGTTAGGCCTTTAATATTTTAATTTAGGCAATTATCAAGGGACCACATGTAGAACCTCTTGTCTACAGAATCCACATGAGGGCATGATGATGACTTTATTATCCAAATGACATAAAAAGATACCCTAGCAGGTGTACTCACTTTCTTCAGTAAGAAACACTTGTCTGACCAGTTTTTTTATGACATTATGTTATTTTTATTTAAAAAGCATATATTCATATTTTTATATTTATATATTTATATACTGTTTCTTATATATTTGTTTATTTGTATAGCATATTCATTCATATGTAAAGGTAGTGGCACTTCTGTAGCATTTTTAATCAGATTTTATCTGAATGTGCTTTATCTATGCTTAACTAGGCCCCCCACTACCCATATCAGGTACATTTAACATTAGCTACTGATGAGAAGGTAGTTCAGACATATCATGATAACAGAAGGAACACACAGCATATTTCCCAGCTCTGCTTCTTGTAACTGCTAAACCATCCTTCCTCCCAGGATGTCTGCCTATATATAAAGTCAATGCATACATTCTCACATTCAAATCAGAAAAAAATTAATTTACCTACTCAGCCCAAGATAAATCCCTTGTCCATAATATTTTTTGTAGTATACAACAAATACATATGCAAGACATGAAGGTATGACATACGTACTCCACACATACTTGAAATATACTATGACTTTTGTCTCCAAAGTAGCACCTATCAAGCGATTATTCCAATACAAGCGTTCAGGGGTGCTTTATATACACATACATGTACACATAAGTATTTATACATGTATAACATATATTGACAAAGAAAAAAACCACACATATGTAAGGCGCATAATTCAGACCCAGAGGAAGCTGGTCAGTCAGACCTTGAAGTTAATGTAAGGCTTCTGAGGCTACTGACAACATGCTCCACCTGCTCTGTTTCTGTTGATACACAAAATACATACATACCACTATACAATTTACAATTTTTTCCTAGGCACTATATCCTGAACAATGAAAAATTACAGTGAGAATTGAAAAATTCTTTAAAAACTACAGCATTATTTCATTTAAAAAAAAATCTGCAGTCCTCTGTAGAAGTTTAATTTTCATACAATAAACTCAAGACTACTAAAAAAAATGACAGCAGAAAAGAAATACATTTACCATCTTCAATTCTCTCTGTGGTGCTTATGTTTTCAGAGCCTGGTAACAGTAGGTGATTTTATAAACTATATGGTGTGACAGAACTTAATGAATATTGGATAAAAAAGAAACCCTAATTCAACAGATACTCGCTATAATGTGCTTAACTTGATAAATAATAGCAATACTTATTAGACCTCCAGCGTTTAATTCTGCTTAATATATTTCCTTTCTTTTACTCAGTATTTAAAATACCACAGAAAGGCTATGGTTCAAGATCCTACTGTACCCTACAGCTTGTTGGTATTACAGCCCCCAACACTTTTATTGCTGTTGTACTACCATTATGCATTATTACACTACGACAACAGTGAGCTTTTTTTTAATCTTTCAGTTTAAGAGGGGAAAAAAAAAAAGCACAGTCTATGTCCCAATCCTGCAATGAACTATTAGTGCATCAAATTCCACTTATCAATCCATACATGTTCCAGTATTTCTCAATTCTTTGCCATTTCAGAGTCTAAGAATTTTCTCTTTCTGGTAGGAGTCATTAAAAGACCAGACTGCCCAAACTGGCAAAGAGCAATGCTGGAGCTCCTCAGATATGGCAGTACATTTGCTATGTCGTGTAAGAGCCTTGAACACAAATGCTCATGATCCTAATACGGGTTTTTGTGGTTACCCATCTTAAGTTTCATTATCAAAGACAAAAAAAAATTGGTATTTATGAGTACCATGTTCTAAGAAAATTACAGGCTACATGACACAAAAAAAAGCCAATATATTCCTGTCTATGGCTAAGAAAAAACACCCTCACGCAGCTACGCACACCAGCTCCACCAGTTTGAGCCGCTCACACGCGAGCACAGGTAGACAATCAGTGCTAACCCAAGACACAGAAGAAATTAATTGAAAATGCATTTGGCAATACACTACTCACAAGCCAAACTCGCTGCGACACACAAGTCTCTGCTAATTTTTTTAAGCCAACTTGTTCACAATTCTAAAATCTAAAATGCAGAAAATACTGTGGCACAATGGGCCTGTAACACTGAACTTTTTAGTCATATTAATTTTGTTCTTAGCAGCATGACATTCTCAAGAGAGAAATTAGTTTCACAGTGGCAGAAAATATGTATTAAGACACCAAACCACGAGTGTCTACATAAAAAGAGCTGTTCTATTTTTAATATGACAATAGAAGTAAACAGAAAGAGAACAGCCTAGACACTCCATATGAGCTCCTCAAACCATTGCTCTGAAGCCTCCAGCGTAATTAAAATTTCTTTCTTCGGTACCACGATGGACCACGTGAAGCGATCAGGCATCTCCCACCCTTCATTTTCAATTCACCTCTCCGCCTAAGCACAACTCCCAGCCCACCCTGTCTACCTGACAAGTGACAGCCCAATCTGATTAAATGCTTGCAAGGGAGGGGACTCATGGGCCTCCATGACAGGCCAAAAGTGATCACCATGGAGATACATAATTACAGCTGTCAACGCGTCTACTGTCCTGCTGGCATCAATTTGATTGCTCCCAGCAATAATGATAGACAAAGCTTAGTGTGCACTCTCCTGCACCCAATCACTTTATCTATTCCGTGGTCCATTTAGCTGACATGCAACATTCACACAAGCAAATAACAGCAGTAAGCAGAACATTTAAGGCATTTTAATTGTTTTTTCTTTGTATGGATGGCTCACAAGCGCAAATGTTATTACATAAAACTCCTGCTGCAGCATTAATTGAAGAAAGATTTGGTGGGACAAAGACTGTAGGGGGTATAGTTTGTCCATTATCACTTGTACTTTCAACAGGTCTCACGTTTGGAAAATTGCAAATTGCAAAAACTTGCAAGGGCAAAATGTTTGACATCCTGTTAGCTATTACAACATGGTGAAAACTTCTACCAACCACTGGAGTATTCATTATAAATTCTTATTAAATACACTCTTTGTTTCATTTAAAAAAAAGTTTAGATACATCCAATGATACCTTTTTCCCTCATCTCCTCTTTAAGATCACATAATGCCTTTTAGATCTTCACAATTTTTTTCTGCTTTCAGGCTTTGAACACAGCATGAAGCCTTAAAGACCAGAAAGGGTCAGGTCCCTTTGGAAAGTACACGGGCAAAAACAATTTAAGAGGCAAAATAAATCATATATCCAGTAACATCTCCACATTTAAGATTCCTCCTGTAATCTTTCACTATTCTCAGTGCAAGCAATCAGACTGAATAATCGTATTCACAGATGGTACAGCCTTGTCATTCCACTAACTGACATAGCGGCATCTCTATGTGCACTTATGTCTTCGACTACCTTGATTTTACAGAAAGGCGGTGTCTTTGTTCTTTACACGTAGCAGAAAACACTGTTCATTAAACAGCTGTTCCATATAGTTAGGCTGTATCCTGAAACGTGTAATAATCGCTGTAACAAATTCCCTCCTTAAAGTCTACACAGCCAAACAGAAAGCAGTGGCAGTTTCTCACTGGTGTCCCTGGACCTCTGTACATGAAGAGCTGACTCAACATTTCACTGTCCTTTCTAATCACCATGGTATTTTTACTAAAGCTCTGTTTGAAAAACTTAAGCTGAAACTTATAGAAAGTAACAAAATATTTCAACATATTGAAAACCATTGTTTCCTGTTATACACAATTTGGACATTTTAAACTCAGTTTGGAACTGTACATTTTTAAGCAGTTTTTCAGGTTGCACAATAAGTATTGCCATGTCCTGTCCCGTCCGTCCCCCGTGCCCCCCTCCCCATCAAAAAGCTGGAAAAAAGGCCCAATTTACAAAGCTGCTGAGTACTTAGAGTCTCTGTCTATAAAAGTAACACTCAGCACCTATGAAAACCAGAACCAAGTTACTTACACTTGGCACGTGCAATGGTTCCTGATACTGAGACAGTTTACCAACGGACGGCAGGCCAAAAGATTTGTAGGGGTCCTGAAATAAAATTCAACATGAGAAAGCATTAAGCTTTTACAGATGCGGCGAAGATAACAAAAAGCTGGAAGTCTAACAGAAACCACTGCTGGAACAACTTTGTTTTCTTCCCCGGAATTACTTGCGTTGAAGTACATTTACTTCATCCACCTACCCCTGCGACTCCAAATAAAGAACTGGAAGCATAAAAATTCTCTTGCATCACAGTCAAAAAGCAGGAAAGAAGTGCTCTGCACATAGCTATAGTACACCACCAAAATATACAGAGATGACATTTTCATTTGCTACACTGCGCATTGGAAGACGGATGGGAAAGTATTCAGAAGGCTGGAGTTGAGAATATATATTCTCAACTATATAAGGAAAACATTTCAGAGATTAAAAAGGCAGTTAGAAATTCAATCATCTTAAGAAATCAAACTGACCTTTATGCCTTCGGAAATCTCCTACATAATGCAATACCAATATAAACTTAATAGGACAAGAAATTAATATATTGTCTACAGAATAACCAAACTCATGGCAAAGTACTCGGATACATTACTTACTTATAAATGTGAGGGAATCTAAGCTGAACAAAAAAAAAAAAGCCCAAGCATTGGTTACTCCAGGGTAAAGCCTACTCATACTCAGAATAGCTTCCATGCCAGTCACAGGGCAAATATTTATTCTTTATCAAAATAGTTCATATAACTTGTAGTCAGTAGACCATGTTGAAGATTACATTCGTGCCATGAAGAGAAAGAAAACACCAACATACAGTAAGACGCCATGGGTCACAAAAGCCACAATAGTTAAGGAAGGGGGGGAAAAAAAATCTCAAGGTGCTGAATTATTTTTGAAAAGCACATTTACCTAAAACATTCCTCAGAGTGATAGGAGCTAAGCATCATGTATCAAAAATGACACAAAAAAGACATTATCTTGAAATGTCCTAAATGTGCTTGAAAATGGGTGTTATATTTTAGTAAGCTTTTTTAAGGTGAGATGGAGTCTCATACCATAATTATAAAGCTATTGTCTTGGAGGGCACTTTGAAAATTTGTCCTATAAACTTCAGTTTCAGAAGATATATAAATTGCTTTTTCAGCAACCTATTAAAAAGTGATAGTACAACAAAAATTCTGTAAGCCACTGAATTTCAGCTGTTTTTTTAAGAGAACATTTCAAGTACACAAGTTAAGAAACCTGGAAACACTAGTTAACTGTAGCAAATAACTCCAGCGCTGCATCATTAAACGTGAACAGAACATACAGCAAATGTCCTTAGAAATAAGCCTTAGTTACCTCTTCTACCGCTTTTCGTTTTGATTTTCAGAAAAAAGATATGTTGAAATACATACTGTATTTTGAATTTAAAAATAAAAATTCTACAATTCTACAAAAGCTCATTAACCATTTGTGTTACGTATGCTAAACTGTGACTTTCACATGATATTCCTTGACTTCACCTTGGCATCTGTCCACACCTGGGTATTATTACTCCACAATTCAACCACCTACCCTCCTCCCCATTACCACTCATTTACCTCAGCATAAACTCGACATTCAACCGCCCAGCCGTTGATGGGAATATCAGCCTGTTTGTGCCTGAGAGGGTAACCCTTAGCAACACGGATCATTTCTTGGACTAAGTCCAGGCCGGTAATGCATTCTGTGACGGGATGTTCAACCTGCAAGGTCAAGAACTGTCAGTCAGTAGGTAACAAAAACAAAAAAAAAAAAAAACCACCACCACTCCCCAGAAACAAACACGGATAAACACAAAATTAGACCAGCCAAAAAACAGACAAAGAATACGTTTCCATCTTGGGAAAAACCAAAAAAATTTCTACTTAAACTCCAGCAACCACCTTCTTTGCAGGGAATGCCCCCCCCAAAAAATAATTAGCAGATTACAATAACTAGGAGCAGCATACAAAAGGAAAACTATAGAGAACACCTAGGAGGTTTTGCGGGGGGCAGAGGAGGATGGTGTTCATTTATTTTGCAAATTCAAATGCACTTGGTGACGAAGAGTTAATTTTTCTTTGTTTGGAAGCTTTTCCCATTCAATTTTGCTTTGAAAAGACTCGCACTGTAGCCATAGATATATTTTAACTGAAAATCTCAGAGTAGCTGATAATCACCCCATTCTGCTACACTTAACACGGCACGTACAGGAGCCGCTTACAATTTTCCATAGAACTAGCCTACCCTAAATCTCACCCATTCGCCTGCTTTCACTAACCTGTCCTGACAAGCAACCAGATTAGCGTAATCTTGCATCAGCGCAGTGTAGCAGAAATGAGCAGATGGATCCTTCAATTTTTTTTCCCCCCCTCCAGACTTATCTGTTTAGTGCTTAGCATGCACAATAGCTGGGCTGGACCAGCAGAGTCACTCTGCGCTCTCAGCAAATTGCTGCTAACGGCTTTGGATGATGCTGCCATGGGAATACCCGTCGCTCACGCTAACCCCGGCATGTGCGTACAAGCATGCACACATGTGCGCGCATATGCACATACACACTTTGTTCCTTGAAACAGGGATATAAAATGGACATGTTTATTAACTTAAAGAAACCCCTTTAACTAGACACAGTGCAGTAAAAAAGCACCCAAAGACAGGAGGGCGCGCCAGAGAGATGAAGTAAAAGATAGGCACGCTAAAAGCATGTTCTTCACACAGAGACAGCTGTAAGACCTTCCATTCAGAAATTATGAACAGAACTACCATTTTTATTATAAACTGTCTGTGTTCCAAGGGCCAAAATACCTTAAGAAAACGCACTTCATGATGGTTTCTCTACCATGAGATGTCATACTATGTCCATTTCGTGACACAGCAAAAGGTCAAAGACCAAATCAGTTGTCTTTCTTCCTTCAACTACGCTAGTATTAAGGAAAGCATTTAGTCATTATAATAATCTTGTGGCTTATCAGAACAAGAAGATGCTTTGGTCTTTAAGAAAAAAGCTTTGTAAAAATAAACAGATGGCATCCATAATTAGCCCTGTGTGCGCTGTGAGTTTGTTCAGAGTTTCAACAACATTTTAAGACATTTTGACATAATTTTAATGACAAATCATCACTGAAACAAGCACCTATTCTTTGAAGGATAAAAGTGACATTGAAATGGGAATCTGATTATACAGTTTAAGGATGTACCTTTGGGATTCAATCTTGATTCTACCTAACACATGATATTCTCCAGCGTGTCAAGCTTAATAACAGTATTTGGAGAATCTATGAAACATCTCAGTGTCTACCCTGCAGTGCTAAATTGAAGCAATTCAATTTCTATTAAGACCTGAAGTTTCTATTAAAACTCTCTAAGTTTTAATAGAAAGTTACTTATCACACATTCATACTTGGACCACAAAACTTTATTATTCCCTTATTTTGGAACTTAAGTTTTAAAAAAATTACCTTTGAGTTTAGAACACATTTGAAATTCTAACATTTCAGATAATTAAAATACATTCCCTCCCCCCCCCACAAGACATTTGCATTATTTAGTTATACTGTCATTTTTCTTGGACTGCAATTGGCATTCCAGATTCAATAGCTTCATTGTTGTTTTCCACTTTATTGTTGATGATCAAAATAAGATGGAATGTTTCTGGAAAGAAAAATATTTTTGTTGTTTGGTTCTTACAAATCACAAACATTTATTTAATCCATTCTTCAATACAGATCTTTGACTTGGTCAATATTTTCTTCTGTTTCTTCAAAATACTCCCTTTGTGTCTGCACACAAAACAGCATTCAGAAAATACGACAAGGAGAATTTTTTGAGGGTTTTTTTGGGGTGGGGAGAAGTTGTTCTGCTTTCTTTTAGACTGTGCTTCAACTAGTGCTGTTTCGGCATAATGTAGATGGTACCAATGATACCACATACATTTAAAATGCATTTTAGTATACTTTAAGACCACCAGATCACCAAAACTGGGTAGAAAAGAATTTTAACCTTGAAATCCTAGTTGACTTATCCGTGACTTTAACCTTTCAGTGAGGTGCACAGCTCAAACTGCACTTGTTTTAGCATCTGCAGTTTTCTTTCAGCAAGGGGAGGTGCAGGAGGGGGTCAGTATTTTTAGCATACGGAATATGCTTCAGCATACAGTACAAAAGGACATTAACAAAGCAGTAATGCCATATCCTGGTTCAACAAGCACCCTGCAAAGAGGTTCTGGAGGTGCAAGAATCCACCCACAGAGTGATACACACAGGATCTGAAATTAAAGCTCTAATCTTTTACAAAGCAAGGAAGGATGGGGGGTAGAAGTGAAGAAATGAGACCACTCTTCTCCCCCCTCTCCCCAAAAAAGAAAACACAGAAAATCATCGTTCCCTACTTAAGAAAGGTCTAGAGTAACTATCACAGCTATTTGACTAAGGTAACTGTTGTATCTGTTTTTAAATCAGTATTAGGCTTTAAATGTTTTCCTCTTTTAGTTTTTTCAGGTGTCACTCTTGTTTTGCCTGCCTGTTGCATTTTTTTCTATTAATTTTATGCTATACCTCTTCTCCATCAACAGCCTTGGCATCCATAAAACAGCAAGTGAAGTCAAGGACTAAATTTTAGAAGAAATTAATGCAAGTATGCTCACAAACAGAGCTGAATCACACTCAATTGATCAACTCTTTTAACTTTGGGCCATACTCAGATTTTGTAGTCAGCTGATCCGAGATCTTGCCAGTGAAGCTCCGGTCAATAAGGTAAGAGCCAATGGTGGTATGGTTATATGATAGTGGGTAAGTTCACACATTATCTCTGTCCTTAACACAAAGGGCAAAACCAGACATGTCTGCAGCAAGCAATCTACAGATCACAGCTATATCAAGGCAGCTGTACCTTATTCTCAACAGGACAAGCAGAAAAAATTGATCAGCAACAACTCTCAATCAGCTGCTGAAAGTATCACCTTTACTACCAGTTCCTTTACTTATACCAAGTCTGGTCATAAACAATTTATAACAAATCGTCCTTTCCATGCACTTAAGCACAACACATACCTCCTTTAAAAAGCCTTACTCCCCGCTTTCTGTGACACACACGCACCTCTTTCTCTGAAAAATGCCACTTATGTTCCCACTTCCAAGTCCGCAAAGCCATAGCTGTTAGGGCCAGCAACATCCATACAGGATAAAGGGAAAGTGCTTCCCCTTCAAACTGGATCTGCTCTTCTTCAGACACCTCGCAGCAATCAGCTTCCCTAACCAAGCGTTTTTGCTTCCCTAACCTCTTTCAGTTTATACAGCAAGTGATACTGGTGGCAAAGCCTATTAAGAAATAACAACTAAGACCCAGTATATAGATGGTGAAGCAGGTACAAAGGAGCTAGGGGTACTTGCCAACATCACAGTCCAGTTAGCATCCATCCCCAGAACAGTATGGAGAGGCTGCTAACTCTCATCCTGTTCTGTGACTGCCAACAGTCTTAAAGCTCTACCAGACTGGGGTTCATCCATAGCTACAGAAAACAGTCATGCAATTTTTATGAACAGTTGGAGCTAAGAGTTAAATTAGCAATGACTGCTCCCCTTATATTCAGGGGAATAATTCCAGGACACATTTTTCTCAAGACCATCAAGGTACTCAGATCTAATAGCAAACACTTCTGGATACTCTCGCAGATTGCTGCTCTCTTTTGCCCCTGTGTGCATAAGGCATCAAGTTACTCACACACCAGTTGGAGCATTCAAGCAGACCGCAGGGGCCAAGAAAATCTAAATTTCAGTAGTCTTGAAACTACAGCCTATGTCGCCCCTACTACTGTAAGTCCCTAGTTGGTGTCATATGCTCCTTTACATTCAGATAAATAATCTCAAAACTAACTTTCAACATACACCTCAGTTTCCAGGAAACACGATTCACCTGGAATCTCATGGGCTTTTCTGCAGCAGCCAAATCCAGTATCAATTGACCCAAATCCATCAACTTACAGATGCTCCTCAGCCCCCTTTATTTCAGTAAGCCTGGTTTCTATTTTGAAGAACTGAACAGCAACAGAGGTGCACACATGTTCTGCTCTTCAGGCATGCCAGCTTCCTGACTACTATGAGCAGGAGCACTCTGGGGTCACATCTTCTTTCTGCAAAATAGTTCACAACAGCCATATATATGGGGCTTGGGGGGCACATACTTTTCAAAAAAACCTCCTGGAGAACAGACCATGTTTGGATTAAAGTACAGAATGAATGGAAAGCACACAGGAATACACAACAGGCAATCTCCTATGTTGTCCTTTTCTATAGACATAGTGCATAATACGAGCTGCTGCTTATTTTGTGATTTATTAGTACATGATTGAAAAACTGAGTGCAATAAGAACTACAAAAATTTCCATAAACTAAGATGCTCAGGTAGACTTCTTTTATTGTTTCCAAAGTAAGATGTTGTAAGAAATGCACAGACATTTGGTACCAACGAATTTCTTAACAACAGCATATAACAACTTTGAAAAATATTTAATCTACTTCCTCATAGGAAGTGATCTTCCAGTAATCACCAATTCAGTTTTGTCAATTTTTCTTTGCAAGGATTTGTTTCTTTATTGTACTGGACAGATGCGGGTAAGAAACCACTCACCCGCCTGTGAATGCCGAATCTGTCTTTTCTGTATTTTAAACAAACAGCACACATTTTATATCAACAAGTTATTTAGCTCACAATTTCAACATAACTT